AACCACCAAGATCATAAGTTATGATCTATCCGTATATATCACATGGACTCCAAGTCGAAGTTTGTTATGAATGAATTTATCATTAATCAACTTAATCTTTGAACAGAAATGCGGGCGAGTGGATGAACAAATAGTGTTGCTGAAGCAGAAGCTTAGAATGATTTTTAAAGGAGAAGCGTTCAATGGAAAACCTACAAAAACTGCTCGATCCCATGGCAAGAAGTTTCAAGTGTCCGTTAAACAAGAAACTTCAAAGATTTTGGTATTTTTCGACCTCCCTCTTTATTTCTTAAATAAGCACACGTTCACACATTTATTAATGATACCATTGTTTGGATGTCGGTCAAGCTTGGACATTTAAAATATAAGTTTTAAGTTCGAGTTAAGTGGCTTGCATCACTTGTATTTGCCTTTAACATGATGAGAAACTATAAAWTTTTTGAGTCATGCCTAAACCCATTATTTGTAGCTTTTCTAACCTTTCGACGCTAAGGGTGCATTTGGTACACAGAAYAAACAAGAATGAASTTAACCAGATGGAACTTCTTGTCCCACTTTAGGCATTACATTGGAATGGTAGATACACCGGTGGGACAATATAAATTAGGGAGATAAGACAAGGTTGGTAAAATACTAAACTAGTATGATAAATTAAAACTCTAAAATCTACCATAATTCTTTCACCGTCTATCTCGTTATCTCTCGTCCGATCCAGTTCCATCCGGTCCTTTGGATTGGACATATTCAAAGATAACGAGTGGGGTTTGATATTTAGGCTTTTTTGGCTGATTTAACAGGGCAATTTGGGCTGGGCCTACATGCAAAAATCAAACTTCATGGCTGCAGAGGTTGTGTACAAGAAAGCCCAAATGATCGACCCAGATGCAAATAAGGCTTATAACTTGGGCCTTTGCCTAATGAAACAGGCCCGTTATAAAGACGCCCAACTAGTCCTTCAAGAGATTGTCAACCGTCAGTTTGACAGAGCTGAGGACGTAAGGGCGGGTATTCGGGCCCGAGAACTATTGATGGAATTGGAAACATGGCGGCAACCTCCATCCGGTTCACCAGAGGAGCTCCCGGACTTGGATCTAGATGATGACTTTGTTGACGGGCTTGAGAGATTAATGAATGTATGGGCCCCCAATAAGTCAAAAAGGCTACCAATATTTGAAGAAATGGAGAAATTTAGGGATCAATTACAATCAGCTTGTTAAAATTTTCATAGTTTCGGTTCATATTATTTGGGGTTTTGTTGTTTGGGGTATTTATGAAATAATTGAGCATGGGCCCATGTTGTAATTTGCCAAATGGGTATTCAATACTTGTATGTAATTTGTAAGAAATTTTTTAATTATTTGATGAAAAGAGTGGTATTTTTTTTTTGTAAGATTTAAGAGTTATTGGACTGTTTTTTTTAACATAAAATGAAAAAAAAAAGTGTTTTGTTTGGTAGAATGTTTTTTAGTATTTATATTTCGTGAATGATTTTGAATTTTTTGTTTGTAGAATTTGTAATGAACTGAATTTCATTTTTTGTAAATAATTAATAATAATAATAATAATAATAATAAATTATTAATTGATTATTATAATTACATATTTTAAAATATTATTATAAATAAATTCTGTAAGACCTAATGGATTATCTAACAACCTTGATGAAACTTCAAAGACACTTATTTTCTGCTGATCATAAATTATTTGTTTTTTTCTAACATCAAAACCAAAAATGCTGATGATAAAGCATGTTTGACAACTTTAGCTATAAGATTACTAGTTATTTATTTATANAACCACCAAGATCATAAGTTATGATCTATCCGTATATATCACATGGACTCCAAGTCGAAGTTTGTTATGAATGAATTTATCATTAATCAACTTAATCTTTGAACAGAAATGCGGGCGAGTGGATGAACAAATAGTGTTGCTGAAGCAGAAGCTTAGAATGATTTTTAAAGGAGAAGCGTTCAATGGAAAACCTACAAAAACTGCTCGATCCCATGGCAAGAAGTTTCAAGTGTCCGTTAAACAAGAAACTTCAAAGATTTTGGTATTTTTCGACCTCCCTCTTTATTTCTTAAATAAGCACACGTTCACACATTTATTAATGATACCATTGTTTGGATGTCGGTCAAGCTTGGACATTTAAAATATAAGTTTTAAGTTCGAGTTAAGTGGCTTGCATCACTTGTATTTGCCTTTAACATGATGAGAAACTATAAAWTTTTTGAGTCATGCCTAAACCCATTATTTGTAGCTTTTCTAACCTTTCGACGCTAAGGGTGCATTTGGTACACAGAAYAAACAAGAATGAASTTAACCAGATGGAACTTCTTGTCCCACTTTAGGCATTACATTGGAATGGTAGATACACCGGTGGGACAATATAAATTAGGGAGATAAGACAAGGTTGGTAAAATACTAAACTAGTATGATAAATTAAAACTCTAAAATCTACCATAATTCTTTCACCGTCTATCTCGTTATCTCTCGTCCGATCCAGTTCCATCCGGTCCTTTGGATTGGACATATTCAAAGATAACGAGTGGGGTTTGATATTTAGGCTTTTTTGGCTGATTTAACAGGGCAATTTGGGCTGGGCCTACATGCAAAAATCAAACTTCATGGCTGCAGAGGTTGTGTACAAGAAAGCCCAAATGATCGACCCAGATGCAAATAAGGCTTATAACTTGGGCCTTTGCCTAATGAAACAGGCCCGTTATAAAGACGCCCAACTAGTCCTTCAAGAGATTGTCAACCGTCAGTTTGACAGAGCTGAGGACGTAAGGGCGGGTATTCGGGCCCGAGAACTATTGATGGAATTGGAAACATGGCGGCAACCTCCATCCGGTTCACCAGAGGAGCTCCCGGACTTGGATCTAGATGATGACTTTGTTGACGGGCTTGAGAGATTAATGAATGTATGGGCCCCCAATAAGTCAAAAAGGCTACCAATATTTGAAGAAATGGAGAAATTTAGGGATCAATTACAATCAGCTTGTTAAAATTTTCATAGTTTCGGTTCATATTATTTGGGGTTTTGTTGTTTGGGGTATTTATGAAATAATTGAGCATGGGCCCATGTTGTAATTTGCCAAATGGGTATTCAATACTTGTATGTAATTTGTAAGAAATTTTTTAATTATTTGATGAAAAGAGTGGTATTTTTTTTTTGTAAGATTTAAGAGTTATTGGACTGTTTTTTTTAACATAAAATGAAAAAAAAAAGTGTTTTGTTTGGTAGAATGTTTTTTAGTATTTATATTTCGTGAATGATTTTGAATTTTTTGTTTGTAGAATTTGTAATGAACTGAATTTCATTTTTTGTAAATAATTAATAATAATAATAATAATAATAATAAATTATTAATTGATTATTATAATTACATATTTTAAAATATTATTATAAATAAATTCTGTAAGACCTAATGGATTATCTAACAACCTTGATGAAACTTCAAAGACACTTATTTTCTGCTGATCATAAATTATTTGTTTTTTTCTAACATCAAAACCAAAAATGCTGATGATAAAGCATGTTTGACAACTTTAGCTATAAGATTACTAGTTATTTATTTATAAAATATTATAAAGTATTTGACAAAAATTCTTAAAAATTATTTTTTATGCATGAAGTATTGTATATTGATACACATTACTTAAAATTCAAGATTACAAGTAAATTATGCATAAGTACAACTTATTAAAGTTTTATGTTTGAATTTGTGTAACTAACTGTGAATAAATATAATCAAATAGAAGATAAATATCTCATTTTAATATATAAAATATCTAAAATATAATTAGGATAATTATCGAGTTCTAACAAAATAATTAATTATTATCTTTATAAGAAAATTATATTATAAAATCAAATATAAATTACTTCGTTATTGAACATAAATTAAATTATAATGAAAAATTGAATTAAAAAATTACACAAAAAATAAGAATTTTAAATAGTTAATTTGATATCAATATCTATATATTTTTGTTAAATTTTTATGATATCTTCAAGTTTATATTTTATTCAAAAATAAAAACATCATCGCTTTTTCAAAATCACATAAGACCATGTTATAACATCGACTGAGATAAAGAATAAAATGAAATATTAAAATCGAGATGTATCTCGCTACATTGCGCGAGTACCCTTCTAATAATATCTATATACGGCAAATGCAACAAACAAACTCATACATCATCCTTACATTTAATAACGTTTGAACCCCTAACTTCTTAAAAGAACAAAGATTACAATAGACCATTTGGTTCAAAAAATTTTCAAATAGATTTTTGATTGGTGGATTTTGGAATTATTTCCTCACATAATCCTGAATAAATTAATTAAGATTTTCTTTTCTTTTTTAGTTCAATATAATTGCGTATTTTTCTCTAAACTAGAAAAACCTGCAAATTTACATAATTTTCTTAATATATAAGACAAGTAGATAGAAATGATTTTTTTTTTTTTCATTCTTTTTCACCAATAAAATTAAATTATTATTATTTTATATAAAAAAAAGTTTAGAAATGTATTGAAGTCATATACTAAAATAATATTTTTGATAATATAATTAACGATAAAATCTCTAAATTAAAGAATCAATTAAAGTTAACAGTTTTAAAGGTTTTAATTTTTACTTTTTTATATAAAAAGAATCCATCGAAAATGYTGTAACTAACACTAAATCGTAGTTGTTGGTAATGATGCTCTCAGTGTGGCATAATATGATGAGGGTTATTATCACCATTTATGTACCCTATTTCGTTGGGTTTTGATGAGTAGAAGAGTTAAAGTGATAAGCGTAAGAAATGATCWTTATCTTGKATGCATATTAGRATGAGATGCATCRAATCAATCCTCGTATCAAGAACATGATTCATAGGTTGGTTTGTGATTAAAGACGATAAGCKTCCASACCTCTTCTCACMTTAACTCTCCTTCTCACACAATMTTTYGCTCCAATAGATAYAAGTGTAAAATGTATCTATGCACACATCGGGTTAAGTTCCGATAATAAGGTAAGTTATTATGAGAATGTAAGGAGTCTMCATCTTAATTGAAAACACTAATRCGGTGCACCAARATGCATTGGATTAATTCCCAAGATAAGAAAAATTCATGGTTAGGGATGAGATTAAAGGTGATCAAARATTCAGATCTYTTTTTACATTTCTCACTTTAACTCTTATTCTCACACGATCCTTCGTCTGCAAACATCAGCCTTAAAAAATATAAGAAAATAAAAAGCCTTGTAAATTCCGACCCAAACCAAACCGAGAAGCACATTTTTTTCTAAAAATTTAGAACCAAAAACATAATCAAAGCTTTGTTGTTTTTGGCATGGCACCGCAGCAAGGATGGGACAAAAAACGCAATTCCTCTAGCCCTGGCCCTGTTCCACTACCYTATCCAATCCCCGATCCTTGCCAAGGATCTGGAATCAAATCCCCTCCCCGCTTTTTGTTGRGTTGATCCTCGGTCAACCCCAAATTCATTTCCCAGTTCAACAAAAAAAAGGTTGAAAATATCAAATGGTTCAAAAGAGAACACCTTTTACTATAGTCAATCACATGCGATAATATATTYCATCACATATAATACATATGTAATACTAAATCAGAGACGTAAACCACCTATCACATATAATAAAGATGTGATACTAAATCAAAGACGCAAACGACCTAGGTTGTCGGTRAAGTCGTCCATACACCACTAGGCCCCCTCATGTGTATCAAATATGTTATGCAATACTATAACACATCACATATGATACTAAATAAGAGAAGCAGACAACCTTTGGCATAACCTAAGTCTCCRCGTCTTTGATTTAGTATCCCATATAATAGGTGGCAAAGGTAGTTCGTTTCTCTAATTTATCATCACATATGTGATTAAATATAGTATCACATGTGATTGACTATAGTAAAACGATGTTCTTGAGTTCGCAAGAAATTCTCATTTTCCCAAAACCCCCCCTCTCTATATATATATATATAATTTTAATTAAGGACGGAATTTCAACAAGAACCCAAATATTTTGCGAAAATGCAAGAACACTTATGGACCTCCAACTTAATTAACCCATAATCTAAACTACAGTTAATAAAAATGAACATTGAGGGTAGTAATGTAATTATCTATTTTTCATAATTTTTATGGTATTTTAATTAATTGTAATTATAATATAATTCTCCAACAGATTCTAATATTATATTGTATTACATCTAAATCGGTTAATAACACAGTTTCAAGTGCTCTATGATAAATGTGTGATACACAGTCAAGTGAACGTCTACTCAAGTTTGCCAAATCATGTGGTACAATCTGTGATAAACAATTTGGTCGATAACTTGTGTGATACAACTTGTTTGCTACGATCTTTTATATTTATGTGAAACAACTTGTGCGATACAATTTGTGATAATTGTGATTCAACCTTCACTCAAACTCGAGTCTAACAATATCTTGTTCTAATACTACATACCATCTATTGTTGTGATAACCATGGTCCGCGATTTCCTGATTATCACTTCCCCAATGATCGGAATAATCTGATTTAAATTTGCATTCCTATTTCCAATTTTAATCTTTATTTTTTAAAAATTAATATTCATTTAAATTTTAAAAATCCCTCAAATCCTCTTAAACTACGTTAGTATTCTCACATTCTCATAAATCACAGGGCTCTCGTTTGAACCCTTCCCTTTTAACTTATATACACACACATTGGGGGATGGTGCAGGTTCAGGGATGCCTTACCCGGCCCTGGAGCAGGTAGCTTTTACGGGGAATCCTTCGCCCCAAAAAGGCCAGGTGAACTAGGTTCCCAAAAGGGGTTACCGGGAATCCTTCGCCCCAAAAGGGCCAGGTGAACTAGGTTCCCAAAAGGGGTTACGGGGAATCCTTCGCCCCAAAAGGGCCAGGTGAACTAGGTTCCGAAACGGGTCGGGACAAATCACCATGTCTAGTTGTTCGGTTAGCCAAAACCTAAATCCATGTTATCTATTGTACACAACAAAATCCAAAAACCTGAAAGAAGAGTGCAAGCATTGCTTTAACAGCAATCAAAATGTTCTCCCTATAGATGTCAATGGTACTTAAGGTACAAACTATACAGCCACCCACTATATSACAATATAAAGCTTTTTTTTGGTTGAAAAGGTAGGCCTTCGTGTCACCCAAATGAAACTAACAAAACAAAATCAGCAGCAAACAAATAAACATGGGACAAAACAACGAAGCCCTGAATTTTTTTTAACATGAATGAAATTTTTACCATCCTAAAATCCTCCCCCACCCCCCAATGCAAAGATGTATTTCACTTGCCACATTTGAAGCCACCACAAGCTGATAGAACTATAATGAGAATCAAAGCAATGATGATTCCRAGAACTATCAGTTTTACCTTCATATTCTGCAACCACATCTTCCTCCTGATCTGGGTGCCTTGCGTCCTGAAATCTTGCGCCTGTAATGTAAATTATATCAAACCATGCTTCGCTATTGTGTTCCCATAAGAATTGATAACATGAAAACCTTAAACGTATAGAATAAGTTGTATGTTGGCTAATAAGCTAATTGATAAAACTAGGAGTCATGTTCAGTATTGAAAAACTAGCTSATACGCTAGATGATTATGATTGGGTGCGTCTGGTAGGCAGACGAAACTGGAYAGTTGGGAATGAAGTAGGCGGGTTAAAACTGAAAGAGTTATGGAAGGTTTGGAGTTTTAATTTGACATAAGTAATTTAGTAATTTACCAATCTTGTCTCATCTACTTGATTTTTGTTCCACCTAATTTGTTGGGGCCAGAAAGATGCAATTTGTCACTCTCAATTTTGTCCGTAGCCCAGTCTAATGTTGCAGCAAGCGTGGGATACCAAGTTTTGTTATGTTCGGGTGTTGCTATATGCACCCCCTATTTATGTCATAATCAAGTCAAATTATATAAAAAGTAAGTCTTGATATTGATGCGTGTGAGAAGAAAATTAGTAGGTAGGGATACATTTAGCAATGCTTGAAAAAAATAAGTTAGCATTGTGGTCGCCAAACATGGCACGATCATTCAATGGCTATTAACTTCAAGGTTCTTAAATTACTAATGTACACATCAGTTTCCGTTTGAAGCATGATKCTGAAGAGAAGCTCTYTAAACCATTGCCCATCAACRACACTAGGAGRTTGTTCATCTTTCACCACAAACCTAGCCAAGGCATTGCGACACTTTTCTTTATTAAAAGTCACGGCCACCAAATTTCCCACACCACCACCTTGAAAACTAAGTATTTTTTGCTTTTTATCGGTTTCCCTACCCGGATACCTCTTACATTGTTTTCTTATGTGYGTCCACAAACTAATTGTGCCAATTTTCTTATTATCACAAGCATAATTTTTTCCACAACAGTTGCAAACACACCTAGGATCATTTGGATTTCCACCCTCAAGTTTTGAAAAGTAAGCCAAAACATCATATACTCTACCACCCAACTTTTTTTATCGAGGTGTGRTTCTTCTTTGATCTCTTTATGGATTCACTGACCTGGGAGCGAAGGTTCTCTGTTTTGTCCACCAGAAGTTCAATCTTCTCTCCACGGTCAAGAACCTACAGATTCAAAGATTACAAGAACAGTTAAAAAACCAACATTAAAGTTCCATCATGTCCTGAACCGTACAAGGTACTCCCTCCATCCCAAAATAAATKCCCACAATCATTACACTTTTTAATCAACTGAATAACAATTTTACCCTTAATAATAGAACAAGTAATGAATTTCTCCATCTCATAATTATTAATTAACAGTAAGATTGGAAAGTAGGAACSTTTTAGAAGCGGCCTCTTATTTTGGGAAGGAGGTAGCATTGGACAAGGAACACACATTCCATCATATTTAATTGAAGCAATTTTACCTTCTCAATATTTTCCATCATCACACCCTTGACTTCTGAGACTTGGGCTTTCACCTTTGCAAGCTTGCTGATCTCTTCTGGATGATCCACACAGTACTGCATCTGCTCCTTCAGCTTGGGACTGTTATATAAAGAGAATTGTGTAACTGGACACTTTTTACAGAAGTGGAGCTTGAAGTTTGTAAAGCATGAGAAACAAATTGGATTGTGATATTACCCAAACTCTTTGCTCAGACTGTTGGCAACAGCTGTTGCAGCTTTCCCCCCTCCATATTTCTTAGTGAAGTCCTCCTTGACTCGCTCAAGAAAAGCTATTGGGACCTGTCTACCAACRGATTCAACGGCGACAACACAGTATGCTTCATATTTAATAAGAAGTTAAACACAAAGTTAGTCAACYTGTATTGAGAAAAAACAGTGAAGCAAGCCACATGCCCAATAAGGGTACCATAAAACTAAAACGCACATCGAGGAGGAGATTGTACTTGCACTTAAATTATAAGCACAGAATAACATGGGATACAAATGCACGATATATCGATAATAGAAACACAAATAACAGGTGGTAATAGTAGATCAAAGTGAGCACAGCCTAAAAAATCCAATCTCAGCCTAGCCATTAGTCAYTCCAGTAATTTAAATATTTTTACTTGCGTATTTATGCACTATGAATATCGATATAAGGTTTCTACTAATAGTGTCATATTCCCAAGARAGTAAGAAAAAAATATTTCTAACATAGTGTACAAATGATGGAACATGGTTCAGCCATTTAACAATTGTGAAACCCACGACTGCAGAGTGCAGAGACACATCAGAATTCCTAAATACTATACCAAGTTGRATTATACATATGACAAATAAATTGGCATCTTTAATAATAGCATTTGAAGCACAAACGCAAYATGCGTAATAGCATGCTTCAAGCAGTAACTGCCAAGTAAACCTGTTACAAACTTACAATCAGGCTATAGAAACTTTCAGGCTGAGGCATGACCAGAGAATCCAGGAAGGGAATTTAAAGGATGTTGCAAKAATTAATTCAATAAATCAAGGCAAAAGTCCAAAACATGAAAATATCATAAAAATGAAAAAAGGGAGGGAATCCCCTAAATTAATTAATGATTCATCGAAATAATGAGTCACCATTGATATCGACACATCTGTCCTGACGTAGTTGTAAATTCCTATAACATAATAGTTCAAAACCTTAAGATTTAACTGGTTACAATTTACTATCAATAACAAGCGAACTAGCATGAAACTGCTAAGAAAATTTAATCCAGCGTAACATTAAAACAAATGCTATAAAAAAAAGAGCAAATGGTGCCAACGGTAAAAAGCAAATCTAAGCTAGGAAGTAAGAGTTATCCGTGATTCAGATCTAAAAAACCATAACAAATATAAGCACTGAATACTTGTTATGAAAATAAAACGATCATGAACCTCTAAGGAACTCTAGAGGCTTGATTATGGTGATATGGTCCACTTATAAGCTTCTCAGAACTCGCATCAGTACCAAAAGAAAACATACATGGAGTCAAACAATCAGGTTCATCAACGGAAAACATATCAGACAAGCAACGATCTACGATGCAATCGCATAAATCACTTCAAAACGAACACACAGAGACATTATGCATAGTCAAACTAGTCGTGCATAAATCAACAGACTGCTTACTAAAATCTGGTATTAGCTAAGTTAAGATAAATAACGTAAATCACCACAAACAGTCATAAAATAACACATAAAAGAATTCAAATCCACGAACATTTCACAATCATAAATGATCAATTCTCATAAACACGATCAGATCGAGGAAATGTCCGAAAAAACAAAAAAAAAAACTAGATCAGATCGGACTCACTAAATCCATCTTCAACAAGATAGTTGAAGGTGTGACCATCACAGTTGTAGGTGAATTTGTTGTTTGTAGCAGGAAGCTTCTGGAGACACTGTGCAGCGATGCTAGTGAAATTTCCRGTGAACTCCGTGTATTCTGAGAGAATCACCGTTCCTCTGGCGACGAAGCTGTAGATCAACGATTGCTGCCCCATCCCTCCGGTGAATGATGTGCGTGTGTGTGTGAGAGAGAGAGAAAGGGGAGGGAGGGAGGAAGGAATTTCTAGAGAGAGAAAGTCGAAGGGGGAATAAGGAGAGTTGGGGTTTCCGTAGGTAGAAATTTACAGTGTGGTTTGAAAAAGGCCTTGTGGATATCGGAAATTACGGAAATGCCACGCCCTGTTTCGTTGAATTCTTCGAATTTTGAAATTTTAGAATCCACGTCAGCTTCGTTGTTCGTTCTATCCGGTGGTTAATGCCACGTGGATTTCGTAATAAATACAAAAATTAATTAAAATAGTTATTTTTAGATTTGAATTTAGGGGTGTTTGGGATTACTTATAAAGCTGTTTTTTAACTTATTTCAGTCTGGTATCGATGATAAGCTGTTTTCTGGTGTTTGGATAAGAAAAAAAAACTGTTTATATCGGTGTCAAACCGGTAATAAATTGTTTTTGATAAGTTAATCATTCATAACTTATGAAAATTTGTTTATTACCAGTTTACAATTTTAACCATGTTTTATTTAACTCCAGTTTAATACCATATAAGTTAATAAGCACTTTTACAAAAAAAAACATAAGTTGTTTTAAATAAACAATCTCAAACGTCCCCTTAATATTTTAAAAATATCATAGCAACTATTTAATTTTGATATATTTGATCAAAATGTGGATTATCGTTGAACCTAACCGGTCCCACCATTTCAAGGACACCAATGTAATGAATATTTTTTGGTTCATTCAACGGGTGAGGTTAATGTGTGACCTAGGATTGAATGTTGGACCCGTCTTGTATCTAAAAAAAAGTCATCGTACCTCTTTGCCAACTGAACGATGACTAATGGGTGACGTTAATATAGGTTATCTTGGTCATATAGACCATTTATAATGGATAACAAAAATTGGATTGGGTTCCGGTGAAAATAAGAGTTAAAATGATAAACATAAGAAGGGATCTCCACCCTTTGATACACATTAGAATGAGATGCACCGGATCAATCCGTATCAAACGCGATTCATGGGGTGAGTTTAAGATTAAAGGTCATCAAAAGTCAAAATATTTTTTTACATTTCTCATCTTAACTTTCCTTCTCATACGATCTTTCGCCACAAAAATTTATATCAAAATCATAAAATTGTTGGAAAAATCAAATA